GAAACTTATTTTTATAGCATTACAAGCAAACCACTGATTTTTAATTATTTGAAAGAATTTCAGAGTTTTCGAAATTAAAGAAATTAATTAAGGTTTTTAATAAAATTTTCATTAGTGAACATTAAATTTATCCATTCATGTAAAATTCGAAGGTATCTGTTTTGTCTTTTTCATATTTTCATGACTGAAGAGGTTAATTTTGGCGGGAAAATGAAAATACTCTTTTAGGAGAAATTTTAGAAAACTGGACCTCTTATTAGCAGTAAATATTTCAGGAATATTTTTAAAATACCGAGAAGAATCTAACCTGCATAAAAGTAATATTTATATAACATAATTAAAAAAACAATTATCAAATGTAACATTTAAGAATAAAATTTTTTTTTTAAATTAAAAAATTTTAGATCTTAACTCTTTATTAAATCTTATAACCCTAAATATATATCTTAGTAAGTCTCAGTAAAATTTTACAAAAAACCGAATAAATTCTTAATAAAATGTTAATTACAATAAATTAAAAAAAACCTTAATAAAAAATCTTATAAAAAGACTACCGTATTTACTCACATATTCTTCCCCCCCCCCCTAATGTTTTAGCTCAAAGTTCTGATAGGCTTTTAAAATATTCATGTAATTTCCTCTTCCTCAAAATATTCAAAAAGCGAGCTCCCCTAAATTTTAAAATGGACTGGTCCAAGTAGTGATTGATTTCGTCTTACTAATTGATTTACTCATAGATTTTGGATCCTGATTGATGAAGCAAAAATAACTGGAGAGCTTCAAGAAAACGGATGCTCTTGATGATTCTGAAGATAATTGCAAGAGGGAAAACAGCCTAAACGGTGATGAAGACGATGGCAACTATAATGACGCAGCGACAACTTTAGAAGCTCTAGAACACAAGACAGCAGTTCCAGCAGCAATGAAAAATTCGAGGCCTAGGGAGTGGCAGTGGACAACAAAGTGAGGTCGATATTCAAGATACAAGAATTACAAATAAAAATACCTTACTAGATATTTTAACGTGAGCATTAGTATGTCTTCTAATAAAAATGTTAAAAAGTTTCGTTTAAACAAATAATATTGTGATAGTTAACAGTAGTTTATCCATGATTATTTTTTCATTTCTTATGCTCCTACTGCAACCTTCGGAAACTAAATTATTCGCATAATTTTCCCTTCTCGATATTCAGGCTAAAAAATTAGAAAAATAAAGCATGGAAAACATGTGACTAAATAAGGAATATATTATGTTAATAAAGAGAGACATGTATATCATGTTAAGAAATCATATGATATAAAACTTAAGTTATATAATTTCTTACATATTATAAATTCCTGATTATTTCAGGGATGTACTTGAGCTGGTGATGCTAAGTCCTAAAAGATGTGAAGCGAATTATTTCTATGTCTGATCAATTACGAAGTCACGAAAAGGTTAAAATAACCTTTTCATTTAAATACGATTTAGAACACAAACGCGTTCTTTTGTGATACAATAAAAGTCACAACTCGTTTTGATGCAAATACACAGAACAGTCAGATTTAAATCAAACGTTGAATAGTAGTCAAGGGCCATCGAACCTTCCAAAAAAAAAAAAAAAAATCAATTTAACTTTAATTTTGTTTTATTAGTCCAAAGGGGCTTTGTCCCTGAAGGACTATTGTTTTCGTTTTGCGATTTTGCGTTGAATCACTATAAATGTCCGTTTCACATTTCAAACTATTGCCACCAAATGTTAGAGTCTTGCATTATATTTGAAGAAATTAAATAATGAAAAATATGCATAAATGTATGTCTATTTCTCGCATTGTGATAAAACAACGGTACATAAAGCCATCGAATTTTGAATGACGTAATCCTCCTACGAATATGTGGAAGACCAAATTTGAAATTTGGAATTTGTTTTATAAAACTTTAATGAATTTTTGAGTAACAAACTCAACGATTTAAAAGCTAGCAATGGCAACACTCTACGGCGGAGGAAAAACACTTTATCTCCAGCGGGCGCGGAACTGTGTATCGGAAATTCTAAAGATATGCTCATTTAAAATTATTTTTGCGACAATTGCTACTGAACTGAATTTTATGGTTTTAATGTGCAAAGAACACGATATTAATAATAAGATAACACACAAAACGTTAAAAAAAAAAAAAAACGCCCATTTGACGTATTTTTAAAAATCTGAAAACCTTTCAGATTTTTTTTGGGGGTGGGCTTGTTTATTTATTTATTAGTCCAAAGGGGAAATTTGCCCATAAGGAATATTAATTTCGTTTTGGCATTTTGCATTGGTTCACTACAATCGTTGTTTCAGTTTTCAAATTGTTGCCACCAAACATTATCGCCCTGTATTATATTTAAAGAAATTAAATAATGAAGAATCTGCATAAATGTATGTATGTTTCTCGCATTGTGATAAAACAACGATACCAAGAGCCATTAAATTTGAATAACGTAATCCTCCTGCGAATATGTGCATCTGGAAGACCAAATTTGAAATTTGGAATTTAATTTATTATCGATTTCATATTTTGTAAAACTTTAACGAATTTTTAATTAACAAACTCAAGGATTTCAAAGCAAGCAATGGCAACTTTGTACAGAAAAAAACATTTTTACCTCCAGCGCGCGAGACTTTGTATCGGAAATTCTAAAGATATGCTCATTTTAAAATTATTTTGCGATAGTGCTCTTGAAATGAATTTTATGGTTTAAGTGCGAGGAACATGATATTTAATAATAAAGGTAAAACAAAACGTAAAAAAAAAAAAAAAAAAAAAAAAAAAAAAACTTTTGGAAATAATTTAAAATTAAACCCTTTCAAATTTTTATTTTTATTTTATTTTACTTTATTTATTTGAAAACATTTCGAATCTGCCCATCATTACCTAAATGGAAAAAAACCTCTGAAGTTTGATAGATCGACCAGGTCTAGTTCCTAGCGAATAAGCTGACTGAATAGAGCTTTAGTACTTTTGCTCGTTTGTGACATTAATATGATCAAGTTTTCTATGAAATGCCCACCATAAAGCTATCTCATTTAAGAAAGAGAGACCTGCCATGCTTTGTCATAATCAGCTAAACAAAAAACAATTCATATCAAAAGTCGCTATTTCTGTTAAATTGCTTCACTGAAAGAAAAGAACTGCTGTCTTCAAATAATTCTTTTTAACTCTTTATAAAGTAGTTTCTCCCTCCTTTCTGCATGTCTTCGTGGTGTAACGGTAGCACACTCGGCGCGAATTCGAGAGGTCCAGGTTCGAGTCCCAGCGTTGCAGTATTTCACACTCATCTACAGAGTTTATTCATTAAAGAGATTTCAGATCAAAATACGAAAGGTGAAGCTCGATAAGAGGAAGGCGGACGGAGCTCGGAAATTCGGGGAATTTCGTTTCGAAGTTCAAAAAAGAGCATTTTGCTATACCTTGTTACCTGATATTGATTATTTATAACAGATGAAACATAAAGCAGAATTATACAACAACAAAACTCACTGAAAAAAAAAAGATTTAACCCCTTAATTCTCACTTCCATCAAAATTACTAAGTAAGATTTCTAAAAAAAAAAAAAAAAAAAAAAAAAAAAAAAAACACGCAAAGAATTAAAAACAATCCATTTCTTAACCCTGACTGTCTTTTTCGCCTCCTGATAAATTAAATTTTCATGATTTCGAGCTAAAAAAAATTCCAAAAATTAAAAATGAATATATATGTGTATTATATATTGTTCATACACTTATTTTTAGACAATTTTCTTGAATTGAAAATTATGCGATCTCTAAGGGCTTAGTGACACTTAAAAAAAAAAAAAAAATCCAACAATAAACGTATTAATCCCGTCATCGTTAAGCTCGTCGTAGATTCATAGCTATTCGATCTAGCTTTGGGCCCACCAGCGGCCGAGCGGTAAAGACGCTGAACACTGGTAGTTCGGTCTGAGGTTCGAATCCCGCGAACGGGCTGGCTGCATGGGCGTTTTGTCGTGTTTTCCTCCCCATGTGTAACGTGTATACGAGCCAGTTTCCCTTAGAAAGTCCTCCACGAAAGGCATCCCTCCCTTTAGGCAGATAGCCCTCGTGTGCTTTGCCATAATTAAATACACCAACACCAACACCAACGATCTAGCTTTGTTACGTAGAATAAAAACGAGGGATTTTCATGTCCCGCCAAACTGCCAGCTTCATAAAATTGCCGACAGCTTTATGGAAGTCGCGAAGTATTTACTTATATACATAGCGTCCCGCCAACTTGATAAAGATTGTGTTCTTCATGGTATAAATTGAAAGTTGTAAAGGGTGTCGGGCACTCAAAAATTTGGGGGGTGGGGAATGGCCAGTACGCAAAATGGTACTGGCACTTTTAGCAAACTGTCCGCTACGGTCAGACCAGCCCCATCCGCTTCCGGTGAAGCTCTTTTCCGTAAAACAATAAAAAAAAAATTCCATTACGCAAATTCAGTATCTGTCATTTCTATATCTTCAATCAACTAACTTCACATTAATCCGATTAGAATCAGTAAAATTCTATTAGTATTACCGTAATTACTTGCGTATTCCTCCCCCCTCTTCTTTTTTTTTTTTAACTAATTTTACCTCTTGGCACTAGAGAGGAAAAATTATGCGGTGTTTATGATTCTGAAAAGGAAGCTTTTACAAGAACATACCACATTAAAAAGAATACATAGGAATAGACGAACTAACTTCGCAATATTCTATATTTTAAAGAAGTTATAAATTTCAATAACATTCTCTTTTTTTTTTTTTTTACACCATGTACTTTCCTATTTGTATCGTACGTTACTTTAATTCAAGATGTTTTTTATCATATGCAGGGAAAAGAAAGAGAATAGAGAGAAAATTTACGCGAAACGGGACATCCAGGCGCTGTTCTGCATACTAGCTAACGTCTGGCGTTTCGTAGTTTCAAGTTGGCGATGTACAACAATCGCCAAAAGATATAATGCAACCCTATGACGAATTCACGAAGTTCCTCGCGTGAGCAAAAAACATAAAAAATTCATACAGGTGGTCATCAGTGCGCTGAATGAACGTGTGTGCGTCGATGTGCTTTATTCCAGAAGCGATATGTGGCAAATTTTAGTGTTATAAAACTTTTTAGTATTAGTTATCAATTAAAAGAATCATGTCGGACGGAACTGAAAGAGCTGCTCTGGGATATGAGCACACTTTGGTAAGTTTTTAACAAAATATTTAAAAATAATGTCAGAGAGGGCTCGAAATGTGCATCAGTTTTGAAATTTCAATTTTAGTTAGCAGTTTTATGAGTGCTATTTCTTTTCATTTTATGAGTAGAAGTGGTTAAAAATGACACTTTTTTCAATAGTAATTCCTTCGCGTGTGGTAAAATATATCTAAATTCACAAGAGCTTAACTAAAATCGTATTTGATTGCGTGACAATAGGAAGAGTATATATATATATATATATATATATATATATTTTTTTTTTTTTTTTTTTGTAATATGGAAATTCTCGAAAAAAACGCATAATAATCACGGCTCATTTGTTTCTTATCGTTATTAGACTTAAAAAAAAAAAAAAAAAAAAAAAAAAAAAAAAAAAAAAAAAAAATGCTATTTGAGATATTTATTGTTAGATTATAATGATTTAAACAAATGTTTCATGCTAAAACGTTATCAATGTAAAACTGAATATTTGTTATGTAGTTCATAATTTAAATTTTCTGAGGTATATATTAGTAACTCAAAATCATATAAGAAACATTTTAATATTTATTCTTGTTTAATTCTTACGAAACATTTATGTAGTTTTTCACAGTTATATGTGTGTACTAGTATGTTTATTACTGTTCTCTTTAAAAGTATGTGGAAAATGAAATTTCTAATTTTTAATATATTTATCAATAAAGTTTTGCTTCTTTAAGTGAAATTTTTGTGGGCCGATGACGTAACTTTTGCGCGGGATGTTGATTGAGTGATGTCACTGCTAAAGGATCACTTACTGGTTAAAGGGGATGGAAATAAATATTTAATAATTATTTAATTTAAATACTTTAATTTCTAATCTGGTGACTTTTTAAAGGAGTGTTTTATCGTTTATTTTCAATAATAGTTGTTTAGAAATATTGCTGCTGATGTAATTTTTTTTAAAAAGGAGTGACATGATGCATAAAGTGTTTATTCTCTATTAAAAATAATTGGGACATGCCTAAAAGGAAATTATCTAATAAATATAACAGAGTTTAAGTAAAAAATATTAGTAAATTTTATAAAGAAATATTACTAAATTCATTGAATGTTTAATAAATTTGCATTTAAGTAAATGTATTAGAATCTTCATTGTAATAAATAATAGTTTTGGAAAAAAAAGTGTTATCTTTCTTCTCACAAAAAAATTGCACTTTAAGCAAAAAATGTATGGGAAAAAAAAAAAAAAAAAAAAAAAAAAAAAAAAAAAAAAAAGAATATACAAATATTATTAACCAAAACTAAATAATCAGCTGTATTTGCATTAATTAATAGGAAAAATCAAATCATATGGCAGTTAATTTCACTTTAGCATTGCTAAATTGCCAGTTGTAAAACTGCTGTTTGCAAGCACCAGTTTAATAAATAATATGAATAAATATGTGACAGTATTAATGCAAAACAAGTGCTATGCATTGAACTATACCTCCTGCCAAAGAATTTAACCCTTAACTAGTGTAATACCATCTCTGAGATATTTATCAATTACTATCTCCATTTATGTATCTCTAGCATCTATTTATATATGATTAGTGAAGAATGGACATTTAAGTTCAATTTATGATCAGTCATAACTAATTTCATTAGCATTCAGTTTTTAGAAATAAAAAACCAGCAGTCTTACAGCTCCTTAAAAACAGTAATCTCCCACTTGTGTACTGAAGATTCACATGGGTAGTTAAGGATAATTTTTTTAATATCTATGGAAATGCAATAATTTAATTAAAATATCACAACTCCATAAAAGAAAAAATATGCAAACTTTATTAGTCTTTGAAATAACAGAAGTGAACAAAAGATAAAATGGAAAATAAATTTCATACTTTGTGTGGGCTTGATTACTTTTCTGCATGTGAAGGATTTAAGATTTGGTATCCATTCAGGCTTATTACATGCTTGTTATGCAAATACTGTTTTTGCCTCCTAGAATCATTTGTGCATTGTATGGGTCTATTTTTCTTTTCTTTCTATCTTTGACATAAATTCTCAAGTAATGTCATGATAGGATCAGAGTACTCAATTTCTGTTTTAATACTAAATCCTGATTTTTATTGCATTTAATATAATTACATTATCAAGTAAATTTAAAATGTTGCTGTGTTACTGTATGTAAGTACTATCTTTTATTAAAAGAAATGCAGTTATATTTTGAAAGAAAGTTGTGTTTTAAAATTTATGCTATCAAACCCTGTATAACACAGTATTCTTAGAGGTCAGTTTTATTTTAAGGTAAACTGGGAACCTTCTGGGACAGTCCTGTAAAATTTGTGCACTGTAAGAAAAGATTCCCCAAATAAATTTTAATTTGAAACTAAAGTGTACTAGAAAAAGGCCAAAAAAATAACAAATTTAAATGTGCATAATAAAATGTAATATAATAATATTAAAATAAAAATATGATATTTCTCTGTTTGAGTTGAAACTAAGTTACTGTGAGAAGATTATCTGTAAGCTATGCATAATTTTCAGGCTACTTCAGCAAGTATAAATACCAGGAAATTACCCAAAACAGAAACTGAATTTTCAGATGAAGACCAAATTGAGAATTTTTATCTAAAAAGCAAACAAAAAGGCATATAAATGTAGTTGAATAACTTCTGAAGTTCTGTTTTCTAAATACAGATTCTTCTGCTGATTAAAAGAGAGCTCATTGTAGTATAATTCATTAAAAATCAAGAAAACATAAACAAAAATAACATATTTTAGGGGAGAGCAATATTCCCATAGCAAAAAAGTACAGAAAATAAAGCTGTTTTCTCAGGAAAGAATATAATTTTTTTTTTTTAATGATGATTAACAGCATTACTGCATGAAAGGAAATAGCCAGTGTGCATTATTTAACATTGTTAAACCTTTGTACAATTACTGCTACTCTTAATATATGTATTTCTTGCTAATTGCCGTGTTATACAGGGTTTGCTAGCATAAAATATTTCTGGAATTTACCATTTTTTATGCTAATTTTTTGTTTCATAAAACATGAATTTTAAAGCACAGAATTTGAAGTTAACAAATAATCACATTAATAATTAATTATTTATTTTATTGATATTCATTTATTTATTTTTTATCTAGGATATATTCACAAGTAGATTAGAATACAAGTATAATATTAGTCTAAAAGGACATGTATTATCCATTTGTTTTGTGTCTATTTTACATGTATTAATAGAAAAACACATTTTTGATTTGATTCCAGCAGATCAAGTGCCTCATTTCTTTCCCACTTGTAAACACCCTTGATCTTGGATCATCCTATGACTACATCCAAATATAAAGTTTGATTCTTTGACAATTCAACTCTTACACATAAAAAGATGAAACAGAATGGAAGGAATGGAAAAAGAGAGTTTAAATACCAGTAGGATATAAGAATAAATTTATAAACTGATCATCTTGATTGATATTTAAACACCTATGACAAATTCATATACAAATTATTCTTAACTGCAGCATGGTTGTAAAATGACAAATATTTAAAACTTACCTAAAAGATTGAAAAAAAAAAAAAAAAAAATCTTGTATAGAGCCCAAATATTTGGCCTTCTAACATCCATTATATTACTGTTTATGATATTGAAAAGGAAGTAATGAAAACGTAAAATATTTTAATGTAAAAATGTATTTCCTGTTCAATTGACCAGTTAGTTACTAGTGCCATTGCTCTAAGCCTCACTGTGGTGAGCTAAATATCCTTCAAACTCTAAGCGAAGATATTTCAAATTTCATGGAATTGTATTATGTTGAATATAGGTATTTCTTACTTTCCTGATGAATATTTTTTCATTTCAGTTGAAGCAAGCCTTTTTTTAATAGTTCTGTAATACTTTTAATAATATGTAAATACTTAAATATAATATGCAACTTCTTATGTAAGTAAAATAAGAGATTTTAGTTTTTTACCTTGATCTTCAAAAGTTTGTACAGTAATGAAAAAGTGCTGTCAATAAGGCCTGCTTTAAGTTAGCTCATTGCCTTACGCACACCATTTTCTCAGGATCTTCCAGTGCCTATTTTCCTTATTTTCATGAAGATATAGAGTTATCATGATTCATAGAAGGAGTTGGGTGTTTAAAAATCCTTCTGTAAATGGGCCCATATGTCTTCCGTAATCTTATCTAAATAATGTTAAATATTAATCAGGTTCTGTTACATAGTACCATATATTATTTTAAGGAGTGACAAAGAATAAAATAGTTTAGAATTTTCTTTTTCTCCCATAAATAACATATATTTTTCATATTCTTTTTATTTAGTGAAATTACTTATGTATTTTTAAACCTTTTTTGAAGTATCACTAACTAAATTAACCTGTTATAATTTATGTATTATTGTATTTTTACTCTTTGAAAATATTTTCAAACCAAAATTCACATGCATCATTGCATTACATATATCTTTTGTGTATGGTTTACAAATTAAAAATTTGGAGTTAGACAATCATAAAAGTATTAATACATTCCATACAGTAAAGAATTTTCTTGAATATTTCTTTGCAGTATACATTATAACAGTTATTTAATACTTATTAATACATTTTCAAATTGAAGTTTTGATTTATACTTGTTTAGTTCTATGCCCATGACCAAATCCGCAGTAAACCATCAGGAAATGTGCATTGATATTGAAATACTTTCAAAGTTGATACTTGATTTCATATTTATCAATTTTTACCCTTCTAGATGTTCGGTCAGTACCGAGAAGACCTAGGTGAATATGCTAAACTAGAAGCATTAAGAGTAAAGAGCTTAGAGAAACTTCGGAAAAAAGAAGAAAAACGTCGACAAAAAGAGCTCAAGCCGTATAGGAATGCAATTCATAGGAAGCTTGTCGGTAATGAATTTTTATTATTCAACTGTTTCATATTTAATACTACATTAATAATAATTAATAATCAAAAGCAGGAAAGAGGAGCAAATAAAAATAACAAAATATACAAAAAATAAAAGAAGTGAATGCCTAAATCAGACAGTAAAAATTATATTGAAATATTTATTATTTGGAGAGAAAGTTGTTAGCATACAAAGTATGAGAAGAAATCCAATTATTAAGTAAAACTATAAAAAAAGTTTACTAAATTGTCAAATTAAAAGAAAAAAATACTTGCTAAAAATATTTATTACTAGTTTTATAAAAGCATAGTACAAGCATAGTACTAATTCAGTATTTAAATTTATGCAATGCACATCTCCAGCTTTCAGTTCATGTAGAGCTTGTACAAGAAAAAAGTAAATTCCGTGGATCAGCCTTCAAGCAGCAAAGGTTTGAAAAAGAAATATTTATTTAATTTAGTGCATTGATACTTCCTTCAGTTATTCTAAAATGAAATGAACTTCATTTAATTTTTTAAGGTTATTGGTTTTATTTTTTTGAAGATATTTTTTAGGCTTATTTCTGTAAGCTTCTTCTTCTTCTTTTTTTTTTTTTTTTTTTAAAGTTTTTTGCTGTTGATATTTCATTTTTCAGATCATCTGTCCCATGGGAGAATTTTATAGTGTCAAGGGGGATGCAGTCAACCATATATTTACCTATTAAGGATTTAGTTTTCACTTTTATTCAGATTTTGGTATTTATCAACATTTTTGATACTTTTCTTGTTTAATTTATGAAATAAATAAAAAATCATCTAAATTTAAATTTATGCGTAGTTTTCAAAATTTGGAAGGGAATGATATCTAGCATTGGTAAAAAGGGGGCAGGGAGCAAAAATGGTTGAGAACCTGATCTGTCCATTAATGCCTGTTTGGTGTGTGACTTTTTTCTTCATTCCTTCTCTAGTGAAAAATAACGTGAACTATTTTCAGACTGTAGTGTAGCACTTTTGTTTGTTTATTTATTAAATACTGGTAATACAGTGCTTTTGGAAATGCATTATGCATTATTTTTGTGAAACTTCATCTGATTTTCCTACGAATTAATGGCACTTTTTTAGAATATGATCCTTCCTCAATGATTACACTGCTCTTTTTATGGTCTGTTCTGTTCTGTTAAAACAATAATATGAGTACTAAGACTACCACTTCCTTTAAACCTTTAAATAGTAATTTTTTTAACTTATTAAATTATTGAAAAAGTGAACAGCATGGTATTGCAGAACTCCCATTCACTGTTATTTCATATGTGTTTGTAGTGTTGCTGACGAAATAAAATTGAATCCCACAAATGTTCATAAACTTATGATTTACTTTAGAAAGTTAAGAGATGATTAAGTTCATTGTTTGATAATACAGTAAAAAACTAAACTCCAAATAAAACAATTATGCAGCTTTATATGTAAATGTACTCTTTTTCCTGTGTGAATTTAAAATTTTCCCTACCTTTTGGCTCATCTTTGTAGAAAATGTGTTGTTTTTATTTAGCATATAAATTATGTCCTTGCAAAATAAAAGCCATAGACATAATCATTTTTAGGAAACTGTAGACAAAAAGAACAGAAAGAATCTAAAAGCAGTCCTTGGCAAGTTTTTTTTACTGTTATGATAAGAGTTGTTGATCTATCTTTTACTCACTCTTATATATTGTAAACTGTCAAGAGTCTTGCCATTTGGCAAAGCATATTCCAAAATCAACCAAACTGTTCTTATTGAGCAATTTTAGCTATCAATTTCTTCATAATTTAAATCTTTATTGTATTTTTTGTAATGAAAATTGGTTTGTTAAAATGCATATAAGCTATAACATATCCAACTGATAAATTTTTATGAGCATTAGTTACTTTGTGAAAATTTTTTAAAAATGTTTAAAATACCATATTCTGTCTGATTGGTACTGAGTCATTTATTTTCTAATTAAAAAAAATATTTTACATTTGCTATTCTAATATTTTAAGAATTTTAATAAACTTCCATTTAAGGTGTTAGACAGTAATCTGAAGTTTTCATGTTGCAGTTTAGTTAGTCCTCCTACGTGTGTGTATGTTGGGTGGAAAGTGAATAGAAAGACCTCTGATAGAAAACTCTGTAAAATAAAATTTTAAAATTAAGATTTAATTATTTAAATTATGCTTACATTCTAAAATATTTTTATTAAAAGTCTACTTTTACAAGCTGTAATTATTGTATCACAGTCAGATGAAGGATATTACAGCATTTAATTTCTTTTTCAGGTTTATGGCAGAACACATTTGCTCGTCTTGGTGAAGATTGGTTTTTCTTAGCTTTTTTAGGTGTAATCTCATCTCTTCTGAGTTTTTCAATGGATTATGCTATATCTATGTGTCAAAAGTGTAAGTATAAATGCAAAATTTTCTAATGCTTTGCTACCTACACCAGGAATATCATTCTGTTAATTAAGTAAATTCAGTGCCATTCCTCCCCTTCACACCTTATTTATTCAATCAGTCTTTTTCAGTCATGCCCTTCAATATTTATGTTCTGATGTCATTTTACCTAGCTTCTTTCCAACTTCGTGTACCTTATCATCCACATTATGTTCTAAATCAGTTTTGGTCTGCCTCTTGGCCTCCTTTCATTGACGGCCCATGTCAGGGCCACTCATAGATGCTCTGTCATTGGCATTTTTAATATGTATTTATTTCAGGATGTGTTCTAGATTTTATATCTTCTGTTGTAAGTTTTATCTATGTTTCTACATCTAACTTGCTATTAGATTGTAGAATGGTCAAGTAATCTTTAAAATGATGACATTTTGTCAAGGAAAAAAATTTATAAATTAGCTTGAGCATCCAATTTTTTTATCCATATTATGAGGAGAGGACTGATTTTTCAATTGAACTGAAAATTAGTTATTGTAAGGTAATACTGGAGATGTTTTATACTTAAAATAGCATTCAAAAGGCTTCTTGAACCTTTCTGCTACTTTTCATGTGTTTGTCATTTTTTCATACATTACTGTAATTTCTATGTAATTGAAAATAAAATAGTCATCTCACTCTTTCTATTTTTAATCTTGTAATTTTATTTTATTTTATTTATTTGCATTCTAATTTAAGTTTTTAGTTTTCGCCCCCACCCCTCTTTTCAAATCATCAACTCTAAATTGTCTTTTTAAGCAGTCCCCATTTCCTAGTTAGCTGTAACACTACTTTTCTTAAAATTGGTACATAGTTTTTAACTCCCCTACACCTGAGAAAATGAATCATTCCTATCCATTTCATTTCCAGAAAATAATTGACATGATTCTGTATGTTTTGAAAAAAACTATTTTATGTAATGCTTGTTGCCTTGATAACGAAAGTAGTAGAACTTAAAACAGATGCTTTTAAATTTAGTATGTTTATTCTGTTACTGCATCAATAAAGCATACTTTACTTTAGATCTTTTCTAAAGTGCTTTTCCTCTTAGTCATAATAGTATGATATTTTGTAACTCTTTTGAAAATAAGCAAATAATAATAATAAGCCTTTGACTAACCTTCTGTCTTATATAACTTCACTGCAGTAGTATTCTTTACATCATATGTTGTTTTTTTCGTTGTTTTAATTGGCTGCTGTTATGTAATCAACAGACTAATTGTAATCATTAGTATACAGCGCCAGGTTTTTTTCCTCTCGTAAAACATAACTTGACCAGCCTTTTTGAAAGATTATTCCCCCCCTTCTCTCTGACCTGTTTTGTTTGGATTGTTGCCCTAAATGACAAAAGTTTAAGGATAATAATTTTTTTAACGTGTTCCTGTATTTGCTTTAGGGCTGTGAATTATATTTTGCTTAAGGCTTATTTCCTTATTAAAATGCTTTGCAGAATGCTTGGAATTGCTTTATTGCTTTAGAATATTAGCTCACTGCTGTTGCTATGGCCTTTATTATTAGCTAGTATATAAATTTGCATTAATGAACAAACTCGTGCACTTTGCTGTGCTTTTTCTTTCTTGTGGTGCATATATTTCATTCAATAGTATTTACTTGGGTTTCACTAAGTAATTTTATCATGTTCTCTTTTTATTTACTGTTCTGTTGTTTCTGAGGGTTTTTCATTTTAGTATGATAAACAGAAGGCAAATGTGTGCTGTGACAGCAGGGGACTTGGATTCAAATTCTAGATGATTTGGGCTTTTGGATTGTAGTACTTTTGAGGCATGGGCACTTTGAGTTAAAATTCTATTGAGTCCTGTCACTTGTTAGTGCAGGCAGAAGGACATAGAATTCTTAGATTATATTACTTGGGTGTTCCTGATTAAATCTGGGATTAAGCGTCGGCAGGAGTTACTGAGTTAACAATGGGGCTTGATATCTGTGACCATTAAAGATGTTTTTCCTAACTTACCCATTATTGCAGTTGACTGGGAATTTCCAATAAAAGCACAGTTCTGGATCTTTGTATATTGAATAATTTTTATTTTAGAGTGTGCTCTATTTTTATGTAGTCCATTTTTATGGATTTATATGCATGAATCATTATTTTTATGTAGTCCATTTTTATGGATTTATATGCATGAATCATTGTTATTCTGTGTTGTTTGGTAAACTGTTATTGCCTTTAAAAATGACAAATCTTTGATCAAATATTTGTTTCGTAAGATTTATGATTTTTAAGTAAATTCTTTTTAACATAAACAACTATTGTAATGGAAGCTTTAAAGTTTTATTGGTGTCATCTCTAAAATGCTCATATGTTCATATCATTTTTTATTTACTGCCATATTTTATATCCTTATTAAAAGAAACTAGTGAATTTTTGTGCAAAAATGTAAGTTTTTTAGTCCAAAGGGGCGAGTTGCCCTGAAGGACTTGCCCCTTTGGACCCAAAAATTTCGTTTTGGCATTTTGCTTCGAAAACTTCAAAAGGTTGTATCACTTTTCAAATCCTTGCCACAAAACATTATTGCCCTGTCTTATATTTAAAGAAATTAAGTAATGAAAAATCTGCATAAATTTATGTATATTTCTTGCATTGTGATAAAACAATGGTACGTAGAGCCATCAAATTTTGAATGACATAATCCTCCTATGAATATGGGCATGTGGAAGACCAAATTTGAAATTTGTTTTATTATCGATTTCATATTTTGTAAAACTTTAACGAATTTCTGATTAACAAACTCAAGGATTTCAAAGCCAGCAATGGCAACCTCTACGAGGAAGGGGGGCAAAAACCTTTTTATCTCCAGCTCACGGAACTGTGTATCGAAATTCTAAAGATAGGCTCATTTTAAAATTATTTTGCAATGTTGAATGAATGGTTTAAGTGCGAAGAACATGATATTTAATAAATAAATGCAATACACAAAATGTTAAAAAAACGCCCCTTTGGACGTAATTTAAAATCTGAAACATTTTAGTTTTTTTTTAACATTTATTTTTATTTATTTATTTATTTTTTAATAAATAGCCTAGATTTTGCATACATTTAAATAGTTTTATTTTCTCATTCTGCTCTACTGTGTCAGTTAGTAATCTCCTTCCCATACCATTTTCTCAAAAGAAATGTGCATATTCTATGCAAGTCCTTACTGCCTTTACAAATTCTATGTGTTTAATATGCAAGTAGCTTTGCATGTGGAGTCTTTTCATTTTCATTTATATGGATATTTTTACAGTTTTAAGGTACATAATTAATCATCATTGCTTATAAAGAAATGACTTTACGCTCTGTTTATATTTTAAACGACCAAATAGAAGTATTGCCATATAATGGTTATCATGTTTTGGCTTACCATGGCTGAATGGCTAAGTTCATTCAGTACTTGTATTTGTTTCAAGTTCAGTTCATGATCATTGAACTTCACAGCATGAGCATTTCAGAATTTTTATTCAAGACCAATACAAACCAGTTTCTTTTAAAATTAATAGCCCTTAAATGCTTTGCCAAAAAGAAACATTATTTTAAAAAAAAATTATATATGTGTATGTTAATATATGCTAAAGAATAAACATACATTATCGTATTTCTGATATAAGTTAATAAATTAAAAACCTCATTTGTATCAAATCTGCAGAAAGCTTTTTTTTTCCCCCATTTTAAAAAAGTTTTTTCTTAAAATATCTGAGCTTATGTTCCTTTATTGCATCATTTCAATGTTTATTTTATTAGTAAACAATCCTGTTTAAAGCTGTATTTAAATTACTAAAATATTTATAAATATCAGATTTTAAGAACAAGAAGTTTTTTTGTTCTTGTGAAAGGATACTGGAATTTACATGTTGCATGAATGAAAGTAGTATTCTTTCTTTGAATGGAAAAGTTAGCTTATTTTAAATGTTTTTCCCATAAACTTCAATTTTTGGGGGTACTCTCTGATTATCTGCACCCTATGAAAAGTTACTAACTCACTGATTAATTTCTGAATTTTTGAAGCTGTCTTTACAGCTCATAAGTACTATTCTGTTTGTAAATAATAATAAAAAATGCATTTCATAAAATCAAGACATTTTATGGAAGAAAAACAAAAAATATACATAGAATATTTACGTTTTTATATGCAGTTTGGTTTATATTTGGGTTGATTTTTTTCGGTATATGTTCGAAAATATGGCAGATCTATCGAATGTTAAAACCACCCTACATATAATCAGAATATACAATTTATTGTTTAATTATGTGCCTGTTGAAGTCTATTAATTTTATATTTAGTTAACTTTAAAGGAACATTAATAAGGTTTGTGTTAATTTCTTTTTTCAGCTCGTATATGGCTGTATCGTGATTTGACAGCTCATCCTTTCTTACAATATTTAGCATGGGTAGCTTTACCTATGTGCCTTATTCTGTTTTCTGCAGGTTTTGTTCATATAACTGCACCTCAAGCAATAGGTAAAGTTTTTTTTTTTTTTTTTTTTTTTTTACTGAAACATATCTGTTTTGTGCCTTGTTTTCAGGGGGGGGGGTGGACTTTTTGTTCTTGATTTTCAGCTTTAATTTTATTTATATATTTATAAGAAAATAAATTAATTAATGTAATCTCTTGATAAAAATATTCATAACTTCTGAAAAATAAAATAATTTTATCGTTTTCAAACGTGTTGAATTCAGGGACGTGATAAAATTTGATAACAGTTAACCAAAAAAAAAAAAAAAGTTTAAATAAAACTGTAGCCAAATGCATATGTAGATAAAACTTTTTCTTTCCTTTCTTTTCCTTTAATCATTTTTAACTATGTGTAATTATTTCGTATATGTTAAATAAAAGAAAAAATTAAATTGTGTTTCCCAGTACGTTAATCAGAAATGAAATGAATTACTTAACATTTGAAAGCATAACATATATAACCAAATTACAAATGCATGATAATTATTAAATGAAGCACTGTGCACCGTATAACGTCTCAAGATTGAGAGTGTCAGAACTTTCATCCACTCTACTCATTTTGTATTTTTCATATTGTGTGTCACTTTTACAGTATTCATCATTACAGTAAATTTAAAAAGACCATAAGATCACATTCTGCTTTATGTAAAAAATTTTAAAATGTGTTGATATTTGAATCATGTGAAAATTAAAAAAAACTCTTCAGCTGTAAAAAAAATAATGAAAATATTTTTGTACTCTGCCTGATTCTTACTTTTCTTGCATTATTTGTGATTTGAATTATATAAAATCTTATGTGTCTTCTGTTAATAAAATAAATACCTTGTTCAACTTTTATTGAAAATATTATTTTATTTAAAGTAACTAATTGTGTCATTATAGTTTATATGCATCAGCCTGTTATCTTAACATTTATGTTTGCATTTGACAATTTTTATTGAGTACAAAACTGCTAGTAAAACTAATATTTATCAATAAGCTATATGTTGCAATACATTTCTGTTGTATTGTATCATGAAAAATATTATTATTTATTATTTTAGAAAAGATTTCTAAAATATTGATTTCAGTAATTCAAAAATATAATAAGTTTTTCCTCCCAAAACTATAGTTGGTTGCTTTCATTTTTGACTGCAAAGATTTAATCTAGTGGTTCTTAACTCTTTCTGCTTATTTTCCCCGTGTTTACAAGTGCCGGAATGCTATTTCTCAAAGTTTTTTTTTTTCATTCAAATGTTATATACTCCATGAAATATGTAAAATTTAAAATATTTACGAAGTAGAAAATACAATTTTTGCGAAATTCTCAACAAGTTGCTTATTACTGGTGTTATTTTCATCATAAAGAAATATGAAGATTTTTATGACTGATTAATTTAATATTTCAAAATTTTTTTAGGTTCTGGAATTCCTGAAATGAAAACAATTCTCAGAGGTGTGGTTCTTAAAGAATATTTATCCTTCCGCACACTGATTTCTAAAGTCATTGGGTTGACTTGTACCTTGGGCAGTGGAATGCCACTTGGTAAAGAGGTAATAAATTATGTTCATTTGGTATAAAAATAGTGAAATGATTATAAATTTTTTTTATTAATTAATTTTTAAATTTTCTTCTTTTCCTGAGTTTATAATTAAAATGTTTTTATAATATGATGAAAAGGTTTTCATTGTATGTACCATACTATGAGAGCTGATGTGCAAAGTTTAGTTCAGCCTTTTTGATTAGTATAATATTTATTGCACTTATTTGTTTATGGAACCCATATTTAATGGGTCATTGCTACCGAATGCATCCAAAGCAGACCACTATTACTTTTGTACTTCCCCCCTATTCTTTTCTTTTTCTGTAGAAAGGCTTAAATTAGTGGACCTTTATTTGATTCTAAACATTCATTTGCAGTGCATTTTTAAAGAAAACAGTTTGGTATCTTTTAAAAAGGGTTGACCTACTGCATGATATTACATTTCCTTCGGTTGCCAGTGTTATGAAAAAAAGTTGAGCTCATTCAGAATTTGTCCGTGACTTGTCCTACAGTCCAGATCTCATTTAAGATTTTTTTTCCTCCGTTATTCTTCTTTAAAAACATCATTAGAAGGTTTCAGATTATGGTTAAAAGAGGATTGTATCATCAGCAGATGTAGGACATTATCAGCAGATAGCAAACTTCAGTGTGAAACACATATTTATTCCTCTGAGTAGCAAGACCATTTTTATCTGGCTGTGAGATTTTTTTGTCACTTGATGTATATATAATTATTTTTAATATATTTAGTTTTCCTGCTTTCTTTCATATTTTAAAGATTATCCAAATGGGAAATTTTGTTATCAAAGTATATAATTATATGATCAATTTAACCTTGTAACTTCAAAAATCTTTAATTGTTCTACATTATTTGCAGTAGTAATGATCATGAAATGTCCTTAACTTTCAATGGAACTTTTGTTTTTTTATTTTAGTATTGTTTTGCGTCAGATTATATATATTTATGTAAAATTTTACTCACTAAATTTGTAAGTAACTTGAATAAATTACTTGTCTTAATTTGAATTTGAATTTTTGTAAATTAATTTTTTTTTATTTCATTTATGTAATTTGAAGAATTTTATGACCATAAATCATAATAAATAGAAACGGTACTATTCCGTTTTGAGGACCGTAAAAAAATTGCAGCGAAAATGTATGCGCAAAAGCGCCAAATCTAGCAAACGCGTCCATTTAACAGCGCGCCAAATCTAGCGTATGCGCTAATTTCAGATTGCGTAAGTTTATATTGTTCTATATATTTCTTAAGATGCCATTGAACTACTAGTTTAATTTTTAAATCCTTTTTCTGATTTTAAATACTTTTTTTATATCCTATGGATTTAACAATTTGGGAATTGCACATGACGAAAGTCGGCAATAGAATTTTGGGTAAAGTGCAGAATCACCCACTGCTTGACGCCTTTTTAAGAATTGCACCTACTCGGTATCCATGTGCACATCGACCTTTTTTCACTTTAAAAAAATCCCAGAATTGCACAAAAATGGCACTGCGCACACCCTTGACTTTATCTATGTACACATCCACCTATTTTCACTTAAAAAGTAAAAGAAAATTGACAAAAATCCAATTGTTTTTACCCTTGTAAAAAGCGGCAAGCAAATAAGCAAGCGATTCTGCACTTTACCGAGAATATTTTCAAAGAAAAGGCATAATTCATTATAGAAAATTACGTTTTAACAACCAACGAGATGAAATGCTTTAGCGATAAGTCGGTAGCAAAATAGCGATGCAAGCATCCATTCAGTTATCTTTAGCAATTTTTATATAAATTATAATAATGATCTGAAATAGTTATTTACTCTTATGCTTCAATTCAGTCATGTTTAGCCTTTTTTATATAAATTATAATAATAAAAAAGTATTATATGAAATTAACCTTTCATCTAAATTAAAACATCAATTTTAGATAGTTATTTACTATTATACTTCCTTTCTTGCATTAGGGTTGCCACAATTATTTTTGGCAGTATTGACATCAACAATAGTTTGGCGATTTTTTACGGCCCTCAAAACCAAATACAGTCAAAAGTCGTTAATCCGGACTCGTCGGGACTTCGGTGATTCCGGATTATCGACTTTTCCGGATTATAGATCATCAGTTTAAATCTCGTAAGATGGCATGCAGAAATTCTAAAATTAAAAATATGAAACCGTAATTTATGAAATAAAGAAGAATTATGATCTAAAGGGTATCAAAATTTCCAAAAAGAAAAAGCTTAATATTTATTTGTTTACTTTATTAAACATTTCTTTCAATGTAAGTTGTTTAAGTTTTGCTTCGTTTCATGTGATAATACTTTCTCTTTAATTCTATTAAACAGACATAATTTCTTGTTCAGTTACAAAGTTCCGCTGTTCAAGTCCTATAATTGCTGTGTCCAGAACACCGACTAATTTGTCAATCGAAATTTTTTCGTTTTCAATAACCTCTGTCACTTTCTTCGCTTCGAGGAACTTGTTTTAAATCATATCAAAGAGGGAGCATATCGAGATGAAATACTACATTTGGTAAGGAATTATAAGCCAAATAAAATAAAAACATCTGCGCTGAAGATAAGGATAGTGCTGACAGATCAACTTCCAATTCATTACACGCCCGCCACCGCGTTCCCCCGGCCGAGCAGCATGAAATTGATAAACAGATTTCGGATTTCAAAACATACTTTCGCTTTAGATCCTTTACATATTAGCAAATATATATCGGAAATTCTGTTTGATATAATCGAAAGTTTAAGCTTACTTTTATAAAATTGCTCTTACAGTCTGCAAAAAATAATAAGCCGGATCCAATTCGAAAATTAAGGAACAACGCAATCATCAACATTAACTGAAATAGATAATTAGATAATTTTAGCTTATACGTCCATTATACATAAAACGCGCACGCGAAAACGTATTCTGCACTTGCGCACACTCATATGCACAGTCGTAAAAGGTCTTACGCACACGCGTAAACGCCTATGCGTATGTGTCAACGCGGCGCATGCGCAGAAAGTTTTTAGTTTTGAGGTGTACGAATTATAGATCATTCCGAATTATGGGTGTCCGAATTAACGACTTTTGACTGTAGTACCATAGAAACTTTGATGTATTTTTATAATGCTAAAAGCCAGTTATCTTGCATAAGGAATAGAGGTTTTCATGTGTCCTAGAGCCATTAGTAAGTAGTTACACTGATTCACTTGTAGAAGACCTGCCCATTTTTCATCAGTTTATTTTATTATTGTATTGCATCCTATTATTTTTCTGCTTATTAATTTCTAAAGTATACATTTAACTTTGTTTAACATTGAAAAAATATTGATTGCTTTATAATGAGTAAAAGTAGAATTTCATGAATATGTAATAGAAATATTTTGATTTTATATTGACTACAACAGTGTTACAAAACACCTTTTTCAAGTCAGTGACTGTAAAATTTATATTAATGATTGATATTCAAGTAAGAATTTTAAGAAATAGGAATGCTTTCTATTATTTTGTGAAAAAAATAGGGCTTCAAATTCATAACAGTTTTTATATTTAGAGAAAATATTTGAAGAACTTTAAAAAACATATTTTTAGAGAATTTAAAATTAGACTCTACATTTAGTTTACATGTTACATACTATTTTTGTTGTAATATGAGTCATAATATATGTTACAACATGAGAAAATTCATGAACAAAATGGCAGGACATACTGAAACCTAAAGGCTATGTCTTCAATGAAAATGATTTTCTTTCTCATTGAGGAAGCACATATTGCATGTATTGCACAAAATTTGTCTTTATTTTCTAACACTCTAATGCTTTTTCTAAAAAATCTTTTTATTGCTAAGCATTTTTCTCTTTTGGTGGAGGGAGACATTAGACATAAAATGGGAAAGAAAATTCATAACTTTAGCAATAGTCATAATTTAAATTTGGTTTTGTCCCTTTGGTCAGTAATAAACTTAAATAATTTCTAATTTAAATTTGGTTATGTCTCCTTTCTGCAAACTAAACTGTATCACTTAAAAAACTAACCCACATTATGACATCTGCAATGCCATAAATCTCTTGTACAGTAGGAGTCTAAAGTTTAAACAAAGGATTCAGATTTTGTAAATACCCCTTTGCTATCACTTTTTTTACTCACCCTTGCCCTGCTAGAACATGTTTTATTCTTTTGTTATATCATCTAATGTCTCAAAATATATCATAAGTTGTATATAAAATTCTGGGGTACTTGTCACACCCATAATGTTGCAAAAAGGAGATGTGTCTTAAGAAATTATTCATCAAGAAATAAAATTATGTGTCATGTTATCTACACCCACATCTGCAAGTTTCTTCTTCTGTTATACATTAACAAAAATACCACACACATATGTATATATATATATGAATTTATATATCTAAAATTTTGAGGTTTTTTATTTTGGCATAAATCATGACATGAATAAAGCATTTCATTTGCAGTGATAAATTCTCCTCATGTTTAACAATTTCAAGCATAAGTTTTGTAAATTGACAATATTGTGATTGGCAATGGAAAAAAAAAGAGAAGCTGCCTTCTTATATGGCAGTGGTGGCCAACCTGTGGCTCGCAAGCCATATGCGGCTCTTTGAAGTATTATTTGTGGCTCTCAATAAATGTACACGAGTTCCCTTTTCATTTTTGTGTTACAGTCAAATACCAAAAATCTGCCAACTCCTGAAATCCGCGTTGCCTCGCAAAACATAAACATTTAGTGTATAGGTTCCGGAAACTGCAACATGGAGTACAAAATATCGAAGAAAAAATACTAATAATAACGGATAATGACGTCATAATTACCGAATAATAATGAGTCATATCAGAAATACCAAATTATTGATATCATGATAAGAGTTTTTTTCCCCTCCGATCTGCATGGAATTAAAAAAGCAGACGGTTAACTCAACTCTTCTTTCAAGCTCACGCTTCAGGTTGTTGTACTTTCTGAGCTTTCTTATTTTACGAGATTATTTAGTTATGTCATT